GGTTCTGATCCTGTAGTATCAGAACCATGATGCCTTCATGGTTCTGGACGGCCCATCTGGTCCTGTTAGAGCTGCTGTTCCTCAGGGTTGACTACATTAGGTCCACCTGGGTTGACAATAAATATTTAAATTAAGGTCTAAATTTGAAAAGGAATTCTTCCAACATGACTGAATGTTCGTGTCTTAGTTTTTGTATTTTCCTGCTGACAGGAACAGTTCATTTCATTCCGGTAGGCCTAATGAACGCAGTTCCTCTCTTGCCACCAGGGGGCAGCAGAGACTCCGCGGCGCTCCGACCAGTGTCACGTGACCGGGTCGGTTCCTCGGAGTTCAGTTAGCAGCAGCTAACAGCTAGCGCCGATTCCTCGGAGGTTACCTACGGAGGGGAACCAGACCCGACCCGAGCCGTTCACCACTCCCGCCCCACAGCCTCCAGCCTGCGCTGCTGCTCTCTCTGACCCGGTTCCGACCCGCTCCTGTCCGGCTCCGGTAGTTACGGTGGGAACATGTCTGCAGTTCAGCGGATGAAGGTGGCCAACGAGCGGCACAGCAAGACGATCACACAGCGAGGACACGTCCAGAAAACCTCGGTGGGTTCCGACATGGAGTCATTACTGATTTATTCTGGATTTGGCTGTAAATGGAGCGGAAACACGTCCATATATGGTGCGTGGCTCCGCTCTGTCAGTCAGCGGGGCTACAGCAGGAAGTGACCAGACTCCTCTCACAACCTTTAGGATTTTAGATGGTTTTCCTTTTTAATAAGAGTCATAAACTGTAAAAAACGGATTTAAGCTGATAATCTCAGTGGATCAGAACCCAGGTTCGGCTCGGCTTACAGTTCGGGGTTCGGCTCTTTGTCTGTCAGAGCTAATTTAAATGTTACATAACAGCAGCAGGTTGTAAACTTCCCTGTGGATCCCTGGAGCCACCGCCCCCTCCATGGTGGATTCCTAGGAAGTTTGTTGATATTCCCGGTCAGGAGGTTCTGATGTTCTGGGTCCAGTGGACCCGGTTAGGAGGAAACTCCTCAGTGAGCCCACAGCACCACTCCACCACCTCCTTGTTCCTCCTGCAGCTGTTGGAGCTGATGACGGGTCGGGTTCACCTTCAGTCATGGTCCAGTTTGAAGCTCTGGTTCTGGTAACTTAAATAAACTCCATCTGATTAGCATATGAATATTAATAACAGTGCTGCTCCTCTGGGCTGTGGGAAGGATGCTATGCTAGCTTAGCTTGAGGTGTTTGATTCCATCAGCTGGTTTGTGGATGACAGGAAGTGAAGCTGCTGAGTTTTATGGCAGCAGCAGAGCTGCAGGAGGACATGATGACAAAAACGATAATATTTGTGATTATTGGTAACAATGATGAACCCGACCCAGGGCCCGACTGGTTCTTCATCACCTGGAAAGCAAGTTGACAGCCGACTGGATGTAACGTCAGTAGATGGTTCTCCTCTGGAAATGGTTCAGGTTGGGTTCTGGACCCAGGTGGACCCAGGTGGTACCAGGTGGTACCAGGTGGTACCAGGTGGTACCGGGCCTCAGCAGGAAGTGCAGCGTTGAGTCTCTGCGGTTCTCATGCTGACTGCTTTGCGTTGCAGAGGCCGGTGAACGAGGACAAGTCTCCGGTGGGCCCCTGGCTGCTGGCGCTCTTCGTCTTCGTGGTTTGTGGATCAGGTGAGTTTCCTCTGCAGAACAGTGACCTTTGGTGACCTTGACCTTTGGTGCTAGCATGTCTTATCAGGAAGCTCCACCTGACCTCATTGGGCCCTTTTTCGGACCTGTAGTCACTGGCAGGTTCTGGTTCTGTTTAATCTGAGCCTGGACCCGGCAGGACGGAGCAGTTCTGGTGTTTCTCCACTGGTAGTCGGTCCAAACCCAACTGCACCCCTCGGGAAGGTTCTGGTTCCTGGTTACAAGCTAAATGGAGTGGAGATTCTGATGGGTTGTGTCCGGTCCTGACGGGTTCTGATGGGTTCGGTCATGACAGGTTCTGGTTCTGACCTTCCCTCATGGTCCTCCTTTGTGGTGTCACCATGGCTGATTGGCTATAGTGAACCAGATTGGATTGGACCAGACCCAACAGAACCCTACCAGAACCTGGAGTGAGCAGAAACCATCAGAGGCTCCCACTGCTTCCCTCTCAGGTTCTGGGTTCGGTTCTGGATGCGTTGAAGTTCTGCAGGACTCCCAGGGCCAGTTAGACCAGTAGAGCATTTGTCTACTGGGCCGTTGCCGTGGTTACGACCCGTTGCCGTGGTTACGACCCGTTGCCGTGGTTACGACCCGGTGCCGAGGTTACGACCCGTTGCCGTGGTCACGGCCTGTTATCTCCACTCAGGAGACAGAAACCGCTGCAGAGAAACAGGAAGTAAAAAATCTCACAGTCACTTATCTTCACACTGAGACAGGAAGTAGAACAGGAAGCTGCTCTTCCTCTTCCTCTTCCTCACCGCCTCCAGTATCTGGACCAGAACCTTCATCAGGACCAGACTCCCTGCTTCTGCTCTCCTCCTCCTCTTCTTCATCCTCGTCTTCCTCCTGCTAACATCCACCTCTCTGTGTCTTTCAGCCATCTTCCAGATCATCCAGAGCATCCGACAGGGCATGTGATGACCTCTGACCCAGAGCCAAGCCTGCCTTCATCACCCCACCCTACACACACACACACACACACACACACACACACACGGGCCTTTCTGACTTTGTGGGGATTGTAAATTATTGGTCCCCATAAACCTGAACTCTGAAGTCTGGGCTGGACACTGGGTCACTGTGAAGACGTGTCCCCACCGTGAAGACGTGTCCTTACCGTGAAGCTGTGAACCTGACGGGAACATGTGTCTCCAGATGTTTCCCCTGATCAGAGACGTGTCCTCACAGTGAAGAAGCATTCCAGTTGTGGACACATGTCCTCAGTGTAACGACATGTGTCCACAGCTGTCCTGCTGATGTGTCCTTGTATCCCTGATTGTCCTCATGTTGCTGAGTTAGAGCCCTGGTCCCTACGGAGGCAGAAAGACCAGAACACACACACACACACACGTTCCTGTGGAGTTAAACTCATTTCTCTTCCTTCTGTTACTACAGAATATTGTTTTTTATTATTATTATTATTTTCTGCACTGCTGCTGGTGATGAACCGATGGAGTTACTGGTATCTGATGAAGTCTTAACTGTTTTCCTTCCAGTCGTCCAGCTGCCTGCTGCTGATTTAAAGGGAGATTCTGTTGTTTCTGAACCCAGAGAAGCTTTGATTGGTCCCTCAGAGTTCAGAGTCACCATTGGTGATAATTATTTAAAGATATTTATGAAGAGTGCAGTCCCTGAAAGCCATAACGCTGATGTTTCAGCAGAGGATCAGAAAAACGGGGCCAGTTGTTTACCGCTCTCTGTTAAGCTGTGACCGTTAACACTCCCTCTGTATTTCACAATAAAAGCACAGCACGCTCTGTCTGCTGGCATAATGTGACTCAACCGGAACAGAAGCTGGTTGCTGGTTGAGTCGGTTTCCGTGGCGATAAGCAGGATTTCTCTTTAATGCTCTGGAAACAGCAGCTTTAGCTCTGCCTCCATCTCTGATCTGCAGGAAGTGAATTTTACTGTAAAACTGATGACAACAAGCTCCCTGCTGCAGCTGTGTTTATGTCCCCCCCTGCTGGACGATTTCTCCACTTTTATACAAAATAAAACTTCAGATATTTTTCTCTATGCGGCTCTGAGTCTCATCTTACATTCATTGCGCTGCTTAGATCAGTGGGTGGAGTTCAGACCGGTCCAATGGCGGGTTCTGGTCAGGATCAGGGTGAAGGAGATGCTAGCTCTGTTAGCATCCTGAGGCTGGGCTGTGAAAAACCTGGGACATAAAAGGTGAAAACCTTACTTTAAATGGTCCAGTTTCACCGGTCTGTTGAAAGATTCTAAAACTTCATGGTTTATCACAAAAATCTTTAAATATAATTTATCTGATTTAAATCAGATCATGTAAAATGATCTGATTTAAATCTTGTGGGGATTTAAACTTAATTTCTATAGAGCTGTTTTACTGTGAACGTCTCAGTTATAGACTATAACTGAGACTTCATGGAGCTCCAGGAGCATGCATGGAGCGACAGTAGAGAGGAAAACCTCCCTTTAACAGGAAGAAACCTCCAGCGGAACCAGAACCGGGCTCAGTACAGACGGCCTACTGGAGGTTTCAATGGGCTGAAATCCAGAGCAGAGAACAGTTAGTGCAGTAAAAGCTTCTTCTGTTACTTTGATTAGGATAGAGACCTGATCATGTCCGCCATGGTTTACTGCAGTGGTGTCCACAGTGGGTCCTGGAGAACACCTTCATCCTGTATGTTTTAGTTCTGTACCTGGTTTAACACACCTGGATCCAAAGATGGCTCATTAAAAGAGCACTTCCTGCTGAGGATGTTGTTACTTCCACCAGGGAAGAACTAAAACGTGCAGGATGCCGGGCCTCATGGACCCACTTTGGACACCCCTGGGCTACAGGAAGTGAACATCAGACCCAAAGTAAACGCCCAGATCCATCTGTCATTTACAGCATAGAGATTAAATCAGCTGGAGCTCCCTCTGCTGGTTAGTTGCACCAATGCAGGCCACAGTTTGTGATGGAGAATTAACAAACTGCACAATACAGTATTTATTATATACTCCTTTTAATGCTCCATAAACAGAGCAATGCTGTGCATGAAGTCAGTTCAAACAAACTCTTCATAATTAGAAGTGTTTTGTAACTTCATGTCCAAGCTGACCAATAGAAAAGCACCATATGGTTCTACTACATTGATAGTAACCACACAGGCACACGCACTAGAAGGAAACAAACGCACCCAATATAACACTTTCATTCTATTGGCTGAGACGGTTGCCAGGTCATGATACTTTTTGTTTTGAGTGAGAGCAGAAAAAAATGTGCAAGTATCCCTGTTCTGGGTTGCTAAATAAGTGTAAGTAAGTAAGTTTTCTCTGGACTTTCTAAATATGCTCTAAATTTGTCAAAGTACAGAGCACTCCACAGTTTATAAGTAATAATAAAAACTAAATGCTCCTGTTCTTGAAGAATTTTTTCTCGATTCTAACTTCGTTCTAATTCCTTTTCGGGGTTGCAATAATAGGAGTTTCTCTGCATAATAATCTAAAAATTAATCTAATATTGATCTAAATAGTGAGTACTCTACAGTTTCTAAAATATAAGCTAAAGAGTGGCTAATAAACTAATAAACTAGAGTCTCTGGATTCCAAGTTTGTTCTAATTCCTTTTCCGGGTTAAATAGAGAGTACTCCACAGTTTCTAACAAAATAAAACAAAAAAGAGGACACAATAGGGCAAATGGCAACATTCAGAGAAAACAATGGGTAAAACAAAGACATGAGTGAAGGCGGTGACATCACAGGGCCATGAAACCATGTTGCTCAGCCTCCCGGCAGAAGTCCAACAAGGTGCTATCTAGGATTGGCAGGCAAGGGCAGAGAGGGAGCAGAGGGAAAAAGCGTTCGCCTTCACAGAGAGCACGAGAGAAAAATACAGTACAAGCATTACAAGTTTTGAGAACAAAGACATGAAGTCCTGCTTTCAAACTGAAAATGTGTGCTCTCGAATTATGGCAGTAAAATTTCCCCATACACCTTCCTCTGGATCAGATCCATCGTCCTCCGGCCTAGCCCCGCCCTCCACCGTTGCTACGCAGTGACGTCATAGACAGAGAACATGGCGGCTGAGCTGAAGGCGGAAGGTAAATGAGCTTTAACTGGCGTTTTATCTGTGAGCTGCTCCGGGATCGGTTCTGTAGGTTCGGTTCCTGCCGGTTTATTTTCCGGTGTGTCAGCAGCGGCAGCGGGCGGAGGGCTGGCTGCGGGCGGAGCTTTCTCTCCCGGAGCTCCAGCCCTGCAGCTCGGCTGCTACAGGTGTTGATCCACCGCTGTTGCCTACAGCCCGACAGCGGCAGGGTTCGGTTCTGGTCGGGGTTCAGAGCTGTCACTGCTTCGTTCAGCCTGTATGTCAACGCTCCGGAGCCGAGCAGCTTCCCGCCGTTTGCTCCGAACACAACGGCAGCAGCTGAACTCCTACAGCCGGAGAGAAGCGCCGAGAGGCGGCAACCGCAGCTAGGAGAGTCCGTGGCCTTCCAGCGGCCTCCTGGAGGAGGTTCTGGTTCCGTGTGGGAGAATGGACCGATTAGGCGGATTTAATCACTGTTGTTATATAATTATTAAAAGTGTCTCATTTAATAAGTCGCATTCAACATTCATGTGTTTTAATATAAACACGCTCCGAACCGGTTCCGATCCAGGTGTGATGCGGTGAGGTGTGTGTTCACTGTTTGAGCATGTTATATAAGTCTGAACACAAACACACACACACACACACACACACCGATGTACAGTGTCATTCAAACACTCTTCATGTAAAGTGGATCCAAATTTGACTGTTGCTAGGCAACTGGGTTCCACTGAAGGAAGTGTGTGTGTGTGTGTGTGCGCGTGCGTGCAGCTGATCGGGGTACTGAACGGCTCTCTGTCTCTCTCTGTCCTCAGCGGGACACGGCAGGTGGACGTCCATCCTGTGAGACCCGTCGCCATGAGCAACAAGGAGATGGTTTCCACGGAGACAGGTCAGTGCCATCCACCTGCAGGTAAGAGCCAGGCTGCTCTTACCTACGTGTTGCCGTGGAAACTGCATGTTTTCGACATGCGCCACGTGTTTCAGCTGTGCGCCTTGGATGGGAGACAGGCTGGAGGTTCTGCCTTGTTCATCAGAACCTCCGGCCCGATGAACCGGGGCTCAGTCAGTCAGTTCTGTCCAGAAGGTCCGGCGTGTCCTCGGCCTCCTGGGCCGCTGTGGGGCTCACACCTCTTAATCCTGAGGTGACGTCAGAGGAGATGACGATGATGTCAGAGGAGATGACGATGACGTCAGAGGAGATGATGATGATGTCAGCATCGAGTAGGACTGAAGGTGGTTCTTACCTCGTCTTCCATCCTCTGGTTGGTCTGGATGAACCACATCCTGGATCTTGCAGCTGAGATCAGCACCTGGTTCCTGGAGGTGTTCAGAGGAGAACTGCTGCTCCTCCACACCCAAGGAGGCCCGGCTAGAGGAGACCTCTGGACAGAACCAGAACCTTCTGGAGAAACTGAATCCTTCTGATCTGAGATAATCTAGACCAGGGTGTCAAACTCCAGTCCTCCAGGGCCGCTGTGCTGCAGTGTCTAGATGTGCCTCAGGTAGAAAACACAGGAATCAAATGGCTTAGTTCCCTCCTTATTGTGTAGATAAATCCTCCTGAGCCCTGATGACCCAATGGTTCTGTTCAGGTCCAGCAGAGGCAGGAGACCGGGTCTCTAGACATGGAGGAGATGATGGTGCTTGGCAGCTGGTTGGACCTGCTATCCTGTTGTTGGTGCTGATGGATGGATGGAGGGAGGGATCTAGCTCTCTGTTCAGGGTGTCTTTGACCTCATACCAACACGCAGTGTTCAATAATAACTGTAGCTGTGAAACGGTGACCCTGTCTGACCCTGACTGACCCTGATAGATGCTGACTGATGAAAACATCACATTATTAACAATAATTTTCTCATAACTACAGGTAAATACCTCCAGGGTTTTATTTTTAACTTCCTGTGTTAATCAGTGGTGACCCTGTGCTGATCTGACCCAGGTTCTCATCTGACCCGGGTTCGGTTCTGACCCGGGTTCTGATCTGACCCGGGTTTGGTTCTGACCCGTTACCATCTGTGTTGTCAGCAGAGAATAAAGGCCAGAGGAAGGTGTTTGTTCCCAACAAGCTGCTGGACTGCCTGCCGCGCTCGGCATGCCTGCCTAACGAGCGTCTGAGGTGGAACACTAACGAGGTGAGGGGAGCGGGTTCTGACCCGATGTTCTGATCCATTTTGGCT